ACTCGTCTATGCCGCGGTTGTGGTGGGTGTGGTATGTTCCTAATAGGTGAATGGGTAACTTGCAGGCTGCTAGTTGAACTAGAGCTGGATTGAGTGATTGCTTCTTTCCGTCCATGGTGGTGCCTACTCCGATGTGAGGTGGAGGATGCTCCTTGCGAGTTTTGTCGCGAATGAACACTTCGCTTGGAAGGTTGCTTATGTTGATTATCGGAGTGTGGCCCTAACCGTGAGTGTATGTTTATCCGTGGGCCTAATTCAGAGTGCACGCTCCTTCACGCGCTAAGATGGGAGTATACACTATCTTGGTGGTCTAGTCAGGAGTGTACTTCGTTAGAAAACTCGGTTCGTGACTGGTCGAGTGGCTGCTTGTCAGGACGCTGCTGGAGAGGTTCTTCGTCTGCTCTTGTCCTTCTTCGGGACACCTCGTTTGGAACACGTTGCATCTTAGTGCGCTGCAAGAGCTGGTTTACCAAGGTCATCTGCTGTGTTAGGGCGCTCGTCAACTCTATGACTTGTCGAGACAAGTATTGTATACCATTTGGATGGGAAAAGTTTAGAATGAATGTTTCTCCTTGAGCAATGGAAGTGTGGTAGACTCCGGGCGCGAGATTTGAGCTGGGAATGTCAAATCTACAGAAAGATATGGTGTAAATGCTCCTGGTTTGATTATCGATCCAAAAATTTGGAGCTGGGATGGTTGAACTAGTCTTGGACTGATTTGGGCTGCATGGAAGGCCACTGGAGCAGACTGGGTTGCAGGAGCATGCTGGGCCACGGAAGCAGGCTACTTAGTGGAAGCAGGCTGGACCACAGGAGCAGGCTGGGCCACGACAGCAAAATGCTCAGCGGGAGCAGGCTGGGCCATAAGAGTAGGCTACTTGGTGGGAGTAGGCTGGAGCACGGGAGCAGGCTGGGCCACGAGAGCAGACTGCTCAGCGGGAGTTCGTTCTTATTTCTTTAGAATTAAGAGGTGTAACTCTCTGACATAGTCATAAAGTTCAAACCATTCAACTGAGATGGTTTATAGATCCTTCTCAACTATCTTGGAGCTCTTGGTGTAGGAACTAGGTTGTTACATTTGTTGAGTGTCATCTTGTCTCTCAAAGAACCCCTTTTTTGAGTTCTATGTATCTTACTCTCATTTGCTCTATCTTGGGCAAATCCTATTGTAGGATTACAATGAACTATCCAACAAACAACATTTGTTAGCTGGTTTATAGAAGTTATATCCAACAAGATAATGCACTTACAAACATTGCTCTTTTTAGGGAACATGCATTATGTCAATTGATTCGGATCCAATAATCCAAAGAATCCATCTGTGACCAACTCATAATTTATGTTTTGGAGGTGTCACAACTCAGTAGGATTAGTCACTATCTTGCAACCTTTTGGGTTTTAAGCATCGTTATATCTAAATAGTTAATACTACCACATCATCTCTACAATATAGAGACGGAATTAAGAACAATCATTTATTAATAAAGAACAATGTTTTGTCACACAAAACATTCATCAATCTCTTAAAATTATAGTGACGGAATTAAGTTCCTTATTCAAAATTAGAATGTAAAGACAACCTTTGTTTTACCAATTTCTTTGGTAGTTCATATGGAGAAGTAAGTACTATTTGCTTTTGCAAAGATCTATATCTTTATTCATGTTCCGAATGTGAAGTACTTTCTCTTCTCTCATTATTCTTCTACTTCTTATTAGTCACACTTTTACAACGGTTGTATAACATAGTTACTAATACGGACTCAAGCATTCAAGTAGAAGAACCAACTGTTTTGAACTATTCAAGAACAATGTACAACACCTTCGAAAGGTGTGTTCTTGACATTTGCAAGACATTTCTTGAAAATACCCCTTCCAATGTCCTTCATTTCTTAAAGAAAGTTTGGTCCCTTGGAGTTATTTTGCTTTCTTCATTTGACTTCTCCTATGACTACAGTAGTCATGGTCTCTAAACTCCCGCTGTCTCTCTTGAAACTTATTCCAATTGTGTTATACACATCAAACGATTTGGAGAGCGTGCGGTTATTGTAACTATGTTTGTACCATACTTGACCAATCCCGAAATTACCAAGCACTAGTCAACTTCATACCTTCAAAGACCCATTGAAGGGTTCACACTGAGGCACCCATGCAGAAACAAAAGAGTTTCCCTCCACCCAGGAGGTCAATCACAATACGACACGTGTCAACGTTAGCATAAAGCTCCTACAGTCCCACATCGACTGCGAATGAAAGCTGGAGACTCTCCTAACCTATAAAAGAAGACCATTCTCGTACAATTAAGAGAAAATGTCATTATTGTACTTAAACCAGTCATTAGAATCCACTAATAATGATTATGCTTGAACCTATGTATTTGTGTCAACCCTTCACTATTAATGAGAACTCCTCTACTCTGTGGACGTAGCCAAACTTAGGGTGAACCGCACACATCTTGTGTTTGCTTTCATATCTCTATCCCCTTACATATTATCCTAACCAGGTGATCGGAGCAATCGAGCGAAGGTCACAAACTTGACACTTTATGTTGTTCCAAAGTCTCGCTGATTTTGTGCATCAACATTTGGCGTCATCTGTGGGAATGACATTTATTCCTACTTTCACCAGTTTATCAAGCTGGTTTCCATTGTTCGTACACTTTCTTTTGATCAGGCATCCCTCTCTAATAAGGGGAGCAAAGGAAGCCAAAACATGCAAAACGACACCCCCCTTGTGCCTAGTGTGAAGCAGTGAAGGAAGGAAACAAAGAAGTTTGCTCTTCAAGCTAAGGTCGAAGAGCTTGAAGCTTAAAACAACAAAATAATTATCAAGAACAAGATCCTCCAAGAACAGTATAAGAAGCTTTTCGAGATGCTCCATGAGGCTCGACAGACTCGTTCTCATGAGCCATTCACCCTCGTGACTATAGATCACCACATGGCTACCCTCCAACACAAAGGTTCACATGTCTTCAACATGGGCTTTCTTAATGAGGAACAACCTTCTCACCAGGATATTAATCAACATGAGACTTCTCTCAACCCAACTGTCTGAAAGTGAAGTAAGAGAAGCGGATGAACACATCTATTTGCAAAAGGAATGTGTAGGATTTATCTAATATGATAAATTCCATAAAGTGAAGAGTCCACCCCCATGAGGATATTAACATCCTAATTACGAATGTAGTAATTAGATGAATGTCTAAAGCCATTTCAGTTTGGAATGTGAATGGCATCTCATTCATTGTATCATCATGTTCCTAAAGCTATATAAGGAGGCTTAAGGGAAGAGAGAAACTAGTATGAAAGAAACACAAGGCTTTTCCATTTAGTTCACATATTCTAGTTAGGTCTCTAGGGTTATCACTATTTGCCCTAGGTCTTGGGAGGCAAAAACCAAGGGGCAACTCAACATACTGTAGCCAACTCGATGACCTTGGAGGTTCTAGACATGTACGGAAGAACAAAGCACTTGTTCATGTTTGTAGGAGCTTGTCGAGATTCAAGCTTCTGCAAAAAGGTACATACGTTCATCCAACAATGGTATCAGACCCACTCACACACTCCTCATACGATTACATGAGATAATTATGAATATGTTCTTTACATTCATTTGAAATTATGTTCTTTACATTCATTTGAAATTATGTTTAAATTCTGGTATCAGACCCACTCACACACTCCTCATGCTTGTTTCTTCTGGGTTTTAATCCTTGGGATATGTTCTTTACATTCATTTGAAATTATGTTTAAAATTTGGTAAGAAAAACCAAGCGTTTAGAGAGAATTGAAACTTTAGTCTCAGATTAGCATGAAAAACAAATTTTTCCAAGGTTTTGGCGAGCCTTGTTTCGTTCACTTAGAGTTGTTTTTGGAATTCAACTAAGAAGACTTAATTGTAAAGAATAATCTGAACTTTTTAACGACATAAAATATGCATAAAATGGATGCATATTGACAAAGTTATGGCCTCTGTAAATAGGCTTTGTGAGAACACGAATTCTAGAAATTTCAGATTTCATGAAAAAGAAGATGAATAGTGGTTTGTTCTCTTCCACTCTTGGCCTAGGCGAGTACACTGGTACTGCTAGGTATACGGGGATATTGCTTACAACGTTGAACTTGTCTTAGAGAGTCGAATCTAATGGGATATAGTTTAGATGTTTTTTAATTTGCTAAAATTAAAGAAACGTTTTTTGCTTTATTAGGTTAATTTAACTTTGTTTTAAAATTAAACTACCAATATTAAATAATTATCCACATTATGCCATGATTCTTGAAATATGATTACTTTATTATTTAATTGTCTGATCCGAAATGTCCACCTGGACACCCAAATCGCAATGTGTTGGTCGATACCTCGAAGGTGACGAAGCCATAAAGTGTAGTGGTGTGGGAAATGTGAAGAAATTAAAACCTAAAAGTGACTAATTTAGATTGCAAATGTGAGCGGGATTGAACCCATATCACACAAGTGATGTTAGAGTATAGATAAATTGCAGTAAAAAAAGAGTACGGACATTTATACCGAAAGGAGAAGTCTCCTACATAACAACTTTTACCAACAATCCTCGTCGTCATGAAACCTCTAGCACTATAATTCCTGTAGGGGAGAAAAACAAGGATGAGTGGCCTGAAAATAAAGTTTTGCAAAACCTTTTCGAAAAGTGTAACCCCTCGTTGTAAAACAAGTATATAGTTTCCTAAAAACATTATTAACGAACGCATATTTTATCACTTATTGTACTCCAAATACTACAATTTAGATGCAATTTTGGACGTAAATGAAAGAAATGACATGTTTTGGTGTTTTTAAGATTAGATTAATGATATGGAAAATTATGATATTTTTATGTGGGTTTCATGTTAGTCTAGTGGTTTCTAATCATGTTTGGTAAAATGGTGTTTAGATTACTGTTTGTATTTACCATTTGTTTGTCAACTTTGACTTCATCCTAGTTAGGTCCTCATGTAAACTCGTTTCCTATATTAATTTTTAAGTAGGTTCCCTATTGCACACTAAAAGGATGACCATCACGTGACTGCTTCAACAAAACAAATGCCCTTATCCTCATATTTGCACTGATAAAAGAAAGGGTTCTTTTCTCTCCCAATTTCCAGGAGCAAGCCGACGCATTGCAACTTATCAAAATTGAAGAGGGATGAAAATCCATGTTTCTATTCCACTCTTCCACTCTCCAGGTTGTTGGTTTGCGGTGGAAGCATGAATTTGATCTTTAATTTTCATCAATTGCAATAGAGATTTGGGTACTTTCAAATTTGGTTGATATATCACTTTGGAGATGAAATTTCTAGCTGGAATCTAGTAGGGTAGAAAATGACAATATGGAGGCCTCGCTGCAGCAGGTAGACCAACTTGAGTGTGATTTAGGCGTTCTATTCTTTCAAGCTTTGGTCAAGGTGTCTAAACTCATGAAGTGTCTGGCAAGGAGTTAAAAGGTTTCTTTCATTTCTTTTCTTCTAATGTTTTCAATAAATGGGCTTTTAAGCCGTCGTCGATTACGAAATAGGGAAATGAAAACAGAAGAGCAAAAAGAAGAAAAGGAGAACTAATCAATTTTCTGGAAGGAGAAACGGAGGGAAGAAGGCAATGGCAAAGAAAGAGATTTTCAGGGCAAAGAAAGAGATTTTCAGGCTTTTATAAACTTAGTTTTCTTTTAATTTTATGAATTCAATAATATTTTTGATTATGTTTCGGAACTAATTTTCCTTAGCTAGGGCTACGTTGTAGCCTTGACTATGAATGCTTAAATTATGAATTGAATTATTTTCAAGTTTTCAATTTTCATTGAGTATCGTTTGTTGTGCTTATATGCTTGGTTTTAGTCTTGCTGATTAGCTACCATCTTAACTCTTAGTAAATTTGATGCAAATTGTGCACTTGAGTAATAGCTTCTTGCAAATAGATACCATAAATTACCTAGTAGTAGATGTCATACTCTAGGATTTGTGTAGTCTTTATATAAAATTCCACTAATCGTAACGAGTTTCATTATGTTAAACTAATCCAGATGCCATGGATGGTTGCATAGTGGAATATACGTAATAGTCTAGATGCCATAGATATTACATAAGTTAGGGAAATTTGACTATCAATGAGATTGAGTACTTGTTAATAATTTGTTGTAGGAAATAAGTAGGATTGGTTATGGTGAGTCGGACGCTCTAGTGTTTAACTCGATTTAATTACTGTCATATCCTAGCCTGGGCCCCCACCACATCCAGGGCTCACCTCCACCATAGCACAATATTCTCCGCTTTGGGCCACGACCACGCCCTCATGGTTTTGTTTCTAGGAACTCACACGAGAACTTCACAGTGGGTCACCCATCCTGGGATTGCTCTTGCACGAACTCGCTTAACTTTGGAGTTCCTACGGAACCTGAAGCCAACAAGTTCCCAAAAGGCCTTGAGTTAGGTAGAGATGGGAATATACATATAAGGCTTATAGGATCCACTCCACTGGGCGATGTGTGATGTTACAATTACAACTTCTTTTCTTGGCTACCATTTTTTTACATTGTTATTACACGTTCTTGTTTTCATTTGTTTTTTTTACTTTTAGTATCAACTCTCAAAGCCGTCATTATTTATCAATCTTTGTTAAATTTTACTACGTTGTAATTGGTTTTAAGTTAGTTGTTTAGAATTAGATTAATTTATGTGGGACGATATTAAATGCTTGCTTTCTATACTATCGAACGATTCATATGCTTGCGAGCATAACATTTGGAACTAAGTTGGACTAATTTCGGTTCGTTTAAATTTCGCAACAATTATAATAATAGTATGTAATATGTACACAACTATTCTTCAAGATCAAGCCCAAAAGCCCTTGAAGAAAACCAACTGTTCATTCAAGATCAAGCCTCGACGGCCCTTGAAGAAAACCAACCGTTCTTCAAGATTAAGCCCAAAAGCCCTTGAAGATCCGCTCATCCATCAACCTTCAAGATCAAGCCCAAAAGCCCTTGAAGAAATCCACACAACCATTATTCAAGATCAAGCCCCAACGGCCCTTGAAGAAAGCGTTCATCATTCATCATCCGTTCATCCTAAGATCAAGCCCCAACGGCCCTTTGGATCAACGACCTTAACAAACCCATACACCCATTCTTCAAGATCAAGCCCAACGCCCCTTGAAGATCCATTCATCAACTGTTCATCCTTAGATCAAGCCCTGACGGCCCCTTGGATCAATAAACAAATCCACACATCTATTCTTCAAGATCAAGCCTAAAAGCCCTTGAAGAAAACCAACTGTTCATTCAAGATCAAGCCTCGACGGCCCTTGAAGAAAACCAACTGTTCTTCAAGATCAAGCCCAAAAGCCCTTGAAGATTTGCTCATCCATCAACATTCAAGATCAAGCCCCGAAGGCCCTTGAAGAAACTTCCATCAACCTTCAAGATCAAAGCCACAAAGGCCCTTGAAGAAACTTACAACTGTTCATCCAAGATCAAGCCTCGACGGCCCTTGGATCAACAAACCTACACCCTACGAAGATAGAATCAGAGGACCAAATTTGAGAGAGATCGTAACCCCAAAATCATCAAACAAAATATTATTTTGTACACGTTATTCTTGTTTCTTGTTTCAAGGAACTTTCGTGTTCACAAATTTTGCACGCCCAGTGGGACCTCTCTACCTCTCATCTCTATCCTCAAATCACCAAAAAAACGCAAATGGCATCAAGAAAGGATCAAGCTGTTCCTGCAATCAAAGCAAAGAACAAGAACATCATCGCCGCAAGTGGTGGTATTTCGGGCATCACAACCCGAAGTAAAGCAAGAGCTCTTTTTGCCGCGACTTCCGCCCCTGCATTAACTCTGTCAAATGAACAAGAGCACCTGAGGTACGAGCCTGTGATCACCCTAGCCTCGCTAAGGGCATCAAGGGGAGAAAGCCCGAGGAAATACTCAGAGTCCCTACTCTCCGACGCTGATTCGAGCGGCAGTACAACCATGCAAGTCATGACCACTGGAGCAACTTCAATCGAGGAGCAGCTAGCTCAGATGAATGAAGCAATCGCAAAGCTCACACGGACTGTGGAAGAGAAGGATTTGCAAATTGCCGCACTTGTCAACCAACTAGATGCGCTGCCCGACGTGAAAGTCGACCCAAATGTTGGCCTATTAAAGAAAGAAGTCGACGAAGAAAAGGAGCCACCAGCGGAGAAAGTTGAAGAGAAGCCGAAGCTAGACCAAGCAACGGCATTCATGGGATCTCTCTCTATCCAGCAGCTACAGGAGATGATCGCAAGCACTATCAAGACACAATACGAAGGAAGCTCGCATGACTCCGTACTGTACTCAAAGCCTTACTCCAAGAAGATTGATGCTTTGAAAATGCCAAGGGGTTATCAGCCCCCAAAGTTCGTGCAGTTTGATGGAAAAGGCAACCCGAAGCAACATGTCGCCCATTTCATTGAAACTTGCAACAATGCTGGGACAGAGGGAGACTACCTCGTCAAACAGTTCGTGCGTTCGCTGAAAAGTAACGCTTTTGACTGGTACACTGACCTCGAACCTGAGTCTATCAACAGTTGGGACCAGCTAGAAAGGGAATTCCTCAACCGTTTCTACAGCACTCGTCGTACTGTAAGCATGCTAGAGCTGACCAGTACGAAACAGTGGAGAGATGAACCTGTCGTCGACTACATAAATAGATGGCGCTCCTTAAGTCTGGATTGCAAAGATCGGCTTTCTGAAACCTCTGCCATTGAGATGTGCGTTCAAGGCATGCAGTGGGGACTACACTACATCCTTCAAGGCATCAAACCACGAACATTTGAGGAGTTAGCCACTCGCGCCCATGATATGGAGTTAAGCATCACCCGTCATGGGAAGAAAGAACAGATCGCCGACTACAAGAATGACAAAGTTTTGGGGCCAGAGGTGGATAAGGCTACGTGGAAACCCACCAAGGAAGCAATGACGGTCAACACAACTCCAGTCAAAATCTATACACGAAGCAAGGCGATTCAAACCGAAGCTTTTCGTGATCAAGAGATACGTAGACGCACTTTGAAGGAGCTTGAGGAGAAGACTTATCCATTTCCCGACTCTGACGTGGTTGCCATGTTGAAAGACTTGCTTGACAAAAAGGTGATCGACCTACCTGAGTGCAGACGGCCAGAAGATATGAACCGTACTGACAGTCCAAGGTACTGTAAATTCCACCGCTTCATTAGTCATCCGACGGAAAAGTGCTTTGTGCTAAAAGATCTCATCATGAAGTTGGCTCAGAAAGGGATCATCGAGCTAGATCTTAATGATGTGGTGAAGTCAAACTATACCACCGTCACTTCTTGCTCTTTGAACTCAAAATCTTCACCTCAACTGCTGGGGGCATGCTCCAAAACCATGTCAGTCAAGTCAAGTGAAGTTGAAGGATGGACTTATGTCACTCCAAAGAAAATGCACAAGAAACATACGTCTCCTCCACAAGTTCACCAATCGGAAAGGGGGCAAAGCAGTTATCGTCAACCTTCAAAGCTACATGAAAGTGTTGAGGATGATGAAGTTATGACACAAAGATCGTCTGTTGCCATCACGATGCGCGATTTCTTCCCCAAAGACTTCTTCAATCACTCAGTCAAGACTCCTTGCTATAAAGATTGCAAGGAATGCTTCTCTAAGATCATTTGACAAATTCACAACCAAAGCTCCTTGTCTGCACGAGCTGAAACTGCAAACGACAACAAAAGCTCCTCGTTCGCACGAGCCTAAAAGGTGACAACAAAAGCTCCTCGTTCGCACGAGCCTAAAAGGTGACAACCAAAGCTCCTCGTTCGCACGAGCCTAAAAGGTGACAACCAAAGCTCCTTGTCTGCACGAGCTGAAACTGCAAACGACACCACAAGCTCCTCGTTCGCACGAGCCTAAAAGGCGACAACCAAAGCTCCTCGTTCGCACGAGCCTAAAAGGTGACAACCAAACGCTCCTTGCCTGCACGAGCTGAAACTGCAAACGGCACCAAACGCTCCTTGTCGATCATCCAATCCCGGCTGATTGGAAAATCTCAGATGACTTGCCTGACGAGGAGGTGTTCTACATCGACATCTTCCCAACATGGACGATGTTCTTCGACGGATCTGCACGAGCAGACGGAGCGGGGGCATGAGTAGTATTCATGTCGCCACAAAGGCAAATACTACCTTACTCCTTCCAACTGAATGAGCTATGCTCTAACAATGTTGCTGAGTACCAAGCATTGATCATCGGGCTCCAAATGGCGATCAACATGGAAATCACAGCTCTTGAGGTATATGGCGATTCCAAGCTCATAATCAATCAACTCTTAACTGAATATGAGGTGAGGAAAGATGATCTCATCCCATACTTCCGGCTAGCGACCCAACTGCTACAAAAGTTCGAAGCTGTGGCACTGGAACATGTGCCAAGAAAGGAAAATCAAATGGCAGACGCTCTCGCCAATCTAGCCTCGAGTATGACACTAGGAAAAGATGAAGTTGCAGACGTGCCAGTTTTCCAAAGATGGGTGATTCCGCTCGTTAATGAAATGTCACTAGATGATACAAATGTCATCTCAGTACTTCCAGTCGATGCTGAAGAGTGGAGACAGCCGCTTTCTCGGCTTTTCAGAGCACGGGTGCCACTTTGTCAAAAGATCACGTGGAGGTCATCATCGCAGCTACACATCTTTAGCCGACAAGCGCAAAGTTCGGTGGCGCTTTCTCTGCTTTTCAGAAAACGCGTGCAGCTTTGTCAAAAGAGGCGCTCGTTCAGAAATCGAAGAGGCGTCGTTCAGAAATCAAAG